ATGAGACCAGGTGACGGTCTGCCTGTGCTGTGGTGCCTTGCGTACCTGGATGAGGTACTGCAGGCAGTTGTTGCATGAAAGAGTCTTGTCCACCGTGCGGCACGGGACTGCCACCGGTTGGTGCACCGGGGGTGCCGCTGGCTGATGTGCCGGGGCGGCGGGGGGGCGCTGCTGGCCCGAGTGAGAGCTGGCCGCTACCGCGCGATTGACGAATGCGGGGGCACTGCAGGTCAGACAGGGGAAGACAAATACATACACATACAATACACACCCTCATACACACTTCCATGCACACACACACACACACACCCCACCCCACCCACCCCTCCCTTTTTCTCTTTCCTTACCCGTGTTGTGCCGATGCTGCTGCTGCTACTGCTGCTGCCGATGGTGCGGGTGGGGGTGGCTGTGCGGGGCTGAGGTGTGTGGGCTGGCGGATCTGCTGTTGTAGGATGCTGATCTGGCTGGTCACCTGCCGCAGTTCGCCGCTCAATGCCGGGACGGCGCGCGCGACGAGGTAGAGGGGTGGCGGGGGGGCCACCCGCTGGCCAAGGTGCTTGGCCAGGGGCTCGCGCAGAATGTCGTCGACGCCGGGGAGCTCGAAGTATCCCCTGCTGCCGTCCCCCCCCCTAGCACCGGCATCTTGGCCTCCTGCGCCACGTCCTGCATTGTCTTGACGAATCGATGCACCTGCAGGTAGATCTGGCGGTCCTCTCCCTCGTCTGCCGTCGCCGTGTTGTCCTTCACGGTCATGAGCGCCGTCCACAGCTGTGATGAGGTGATGTCCTTCAGTTGGATGCGGGTGCTGCCCCCTTTGATGGTGAGCTGGTCGTCCGCGCCCCTCTCGAACGAGAGAGACGGAAGGGGGAGCTGGTCGGCGAGGGCGGTCACCATGCGCTGCGCCAGCTTGCTGCCCTCGGCGAATGGGGATTGGATCTGCTTGGTGAGCTGCTGCTGCGCCGCCTCGAAGGTCCCTATCCGCTGATCCAGCCCGCCCAGCCGCCCGCCGATGGACACCATGCCCTGCGTCATCTGTTGCTTCAAGTCGTCGAGCTCCCTCGCCAACATCTCCAACTTCTGGCACCGCTCGATGTCTCCATCCGCCCCTCCGCCCCCTCCCCCCAGATCCCCCCGCCCCCTCCCCTGCTGCCGGTCCTCCTCCTGGATCTCGTCCTCTCCCTCCTCCAGATCTACCTCTACAGCCTCCGCCCGCCTCGACTTTTTCTTCTTCTTTTTCTTCTTCTCGGCCCCGTCCTTTGCCTTGGCCTTGGCCCTGGACGCTGCCGGTGTCCCCGCGCCCCCCTCGCCCTGGATCTCCTCATCCTCCATGTCGGCTGCGATGTCATCGTCCGCGAAGCCCTGTCGCCTCTGGGCGTCGATGATCTCGTCCTCTATGTGGGAGATCTGGTCCTGCAGCAGCTGCTCCAGCTCCTCCTCGCCGAGATCGAGGTCGCGCAGCTGGTTATTGAGGGCGGCCTTCAGATGCTGCCCAACACGCACCCGCTGGCCAAGATCTTCCAGATCACCCAAGCTAAAGAAGGCCGGTAGGTCGCCGGTGTCGACGCCAGACCAGTCGAAATTGGCCTTCTTGAATTTGAAGGCGTTGCGGGTTCTCGCCATGGTGGGGAAAGGCCACGCCGCTGACGACGGAAAGGGATGGGAAAGGGTGGCTACGGGGAGGCCGGGGTGGCTGCGGTGGATGCGACCTTCAAAACCAAAACATCATCAACACCACAGTGCGCGTCCACACGCGGACGTGGACGCGCCATCAACGCGAGCCCGGCATCTGGGCCAAGGATCGCCCGGCGGCTCGCACTCGCGAGGGCAGGCTGCGAGTGCGAGAGGGAGTGCGAGAGGGAGCCCTCACCGCTCACGCTCCGCTCGGGGGATCCTACGCCACCGAACGAGACGTCCTCAAGGCTCCGAGAGTTCCTGCATCCTGCGGCCACAGAGTCACATCGTCAACGACACGAGAATGGCCGGCGCCGGTCGGATGCTGGTGCCTTTTGGCCGGCCCTTCCGCCACAATGGATAGAGAGGCGTCAGGGTCTGTGTGGATCGGTGGCGGTGGACGCCCCCCTCGCTCTCTCCCGCGCGTTGTTGTCGCGTGCGTCGGTTCGGAACGGGATTCACACATTAAGTATTTCAAGGCTTGTGTGTGCCAAGTTGTTCGCCAGCCCCCACACCACAAATCCAATGACCCCGCGACTCGCCATATATCCCTGGTCAACAGATGCATCCCTCTGCTACACCCTGATAGCTATGTGTCGCACCGCCCTGCAGTCTTTGCATCGCACTCGAGCGTCTCTAGCGTCATCACATCCACCTGGCCCTCCAAACGAAGATCAGCCTGCATACGCACGCACAGACATCAGACAGACAGAGAGACACACATGTCAGTCAGGGGCTTTGCTGCGCTCACCTTGACGGGGGCTGGCGCGTCTGTCTGTGCGGGCTCTGCCAGGGCCGCCAAACACTCGCGGAGACGGCATTGACTCAGCCTGTGATGCCATCCATAGGTGCAGCACACACGAGGGACGGATCGAGGAATGGATAAAAGGAGTCTGAACTTGCCTTTCTCACCATGACTCAAGATACTCTTCGGGGGAAGAGTCAGCTGTCACGACGCTGAGATGAAGACACAACACACATCAGGTGAGCAGCAAACACACCACACGTGGATGGGATGGAGGGATGTCGGGGGGCGTGGATGGCAGCGACTGCAGTGCTGCCTACTCGAATGCGATTTCGATGTGTTCAATTTCTTCCAGCTGCCGTTGGATCTCGAGCTGGTCACCCAGGAGGAAATCCACACGCCGCTCTCCCTCAGTCTGCGCACGCCGAAACACACAGACACGGAGACATCCCTCGACCTTCTGCTCCTCCCCTGGCCCCATCGTACCATCAGGCTCCTCAGTGCCCCCTCCACAATCGAGCACACCTCCTGCTCAACGTCGGTGCAATTCTTCTCGAGACGCCTGCACGCACACAACGAACAAACAAAAGGTCACACGCACACACACACACACACATCCGGCCGCCTCACACGTCTCGCCTGACCTGACTTGCTCCTGTATGGCCGTGAGCTGCTCCATCAGGACGGCCCGCCTGGGCGGGAAGGGCGGCGGAGGGATGTGCGAGTCCCGCACCGCCACCCTGTAGGCCTCCTCCAGCGTCAAGACCGGATGTGTCGACCACCCAGACGGCGGAAATGCTGATACGTACACACACACACACAGAGGACACATCCAGATGGTCTGAGTCATGATTGTCTTCACCATGCCTTTCCTTCCGTGGATCTTACGTCTTCCGGTCTCCGGTATTTCTCGCCCAGGGGGCCACGGCAATGCGGTCTTCCTCGGAAAAGACGACAGCAGGGTGCTCTTGGGCACATGGTTGCCGATCGGATGGTTGTTTCTCGAGAGAGAGAACGGCCTCATCTGTGGGTGGCCGTGCTTGTCGAAGGCCAGGGGCAGCTCTGCTCCTCCTGCTGCTGCTGGTGCTGCTGGTGGGCTGGCGACACTGGGCGGACAGCAGTGTGCGCACATGCGGCAGAAAGGGATGCGGCAGCTGATGCAGTAGCGGTCGGCCGGGAGGGAGGGGTGCAGGCTGCACATAGGGATCTTCTGAGGCATCTGATTGATTGGCACGCGCAGGTGTCTCGCAGTCAGTTTGGTGTTGTGCAGCTGCGCATCGCACTCCGAGCACAGCTTGGCCTCGTCAGCCCCACACCACCAGGTGGCCGCACGCACACCGCACTTCTCACACATCGGCTGCAAACAAAACAAAAGAGACAGACTTCACACCAACCAAAAGTGGCAGATGGACAGACACGTCACTCACCAGCCCCAGCTCATTCGGTCCCGCAGGATCGAACTCCACGAGGAAGAAGTAGTGCGGCAGCAGCCTTGACGATTCGAAGACGACATACTCGTGCCGGAACACCTTCTGCGGCGGGACGAGGCGCGCAGGGAGGGGAGCCACGCCGTGCAAGCTGTCGAGTATCTCGTCCATTGGGGACTCGGTGGCTGATGTAGGGGCCTCTGCGGCAGGCTTGATGAAGACGCTGTCATACTCTGCAAAGAGAATCTGGTTTGATGGATGGATGGATGGATGGATGGATGGATGGATGAAGGGATGTGGATTCCCATTTGCTCGGTCTCACCCGGCGGCAGCTTGAAGCTGTCGTTGAAGACCTCTCTCTCAGACTCGACGGCCATCGACGCACCCACAGCTGGATGGACACCATGGACGGCTCTATCTATGCATTGGTCTGTCTGCCTGTCTTGCCGTCTCAGCTCTCTCTCTCACCCACACTGCAGCAGATGAACCGCATCGCTCTTCTCTGCTTCAGCAGGGTGGCCTTCTCGAGGTTGGCGTCGCTGGGCGGGGGAGGGGTCGGGTCATGGCTCTCATCAGTCACATGCTGCCAGTGGTGGTGGTGGGGGTCGCTGGGCAGCCCTGGGATGCCGAAGTTGCCCACGGCCACCTTCAGCCCTCGAGCAGGGAGATGGATACCTGTTGTGGTCGGGAGAGAAGAACGATTGATTGCTCTTCAGATGTCTTGACGTGAAACATGCACTGTCTCATGTGTGTAGTACTACCTCTCTCGACAACGTCTCGCAGACTGTTGGTGGCCTTGCCGACAGACATGGGGGAGCTGAGTGCATCTGCATTGAGAAACGCAGGCACCACCAGCCGACCCTGCGCGAACACACACCATTGCAAAAGCTGATGACATGGCCATGTAGCAGTTTTGTTTGTCACTTGGATGGACCCCTCCCTCTCTGACCTGGCTTCTTCGGTGGAAGTCCTGTGCGAGATGCGGGTTGTCGAGGTGCCAGGCTGCCGTGAGCTTGAGCTCTGTGGTTCTTCCGCAGATCTGGGTGAGCTGCTCCAGGGCACCCCACTCAGTCGATGTAGCCGCCAGTGGAATGGCAGCGCCGTGCTCCATTTGTGCGAGACGGGGGGGGCCAGCTTGCCCCCAAGCTCGCAGAGCGAGCTCGCACTGTTTTTGCGAAGGATAGCATTTCTCTCTCGGTTTTGGTATTACTGAGCCTCGCCTGAGCTGCCTCGCTCCGTTCAAGGCCTTCCCAACCTCTTCTTCGCACAGGCAACAGCTGGCAGTGGTGCTTTGTGCATGGATCTCGAGATCCCGATGCAGGGCGAGGCGGCCCAGGAGAGCACGAAGGCCTCGTCGGTCGTCGAGAGGGGCAGCAGCAAGAGGGGGAGCTTGTGGTCATCTTCACACCACAAGCCAGAGGAGCAGCAGCGGCCGGCTGGTCTGGGGAGCTGCCTGGAGTGCTTTGGTGGTTTGGTCAAGAGCGTCAGGCCGGAGTGCTGCTGGTCACGCAGCTTTGCTGAAGTCGACCGTAAGCACAACCACACACAAACACACGGTAGCAAACACAACACGACACACATGGAAGAGTGTGTGTCTGTCGTGTGTCTGTCCATCAGCTCCTGTGCGGGAGTTTCAGCCGACATTTTGGGACGCGGTGAGTCAGCTGGGCCTCGCATGGCGGCTGTACAAGTTCATCCGGCACGAGAAGAGAGACGGCCTCCTGCCGTGGATCGACCCGTTCGCTCCCAAGAAGCCGCACACCAACCACGGTGAAAGCAAGGGGCGAGGCAAGGGGTGCAGTGCACGTGTGTGAGCGGCCCGCCCTTGTTGGTGGACGGATGTATCTGGTCTGGTCTGGTGCGTGTTGCGGTGCAATGTGGTTAGGTGTGCCATGTGGTGGGCTCGGGTGCGGCTCTATCGGTAGGTGACTGATAACGAGGTGGTGGAGGGAGGGATGGCTGCCATTCTCACTCTCCCATCTGTGTCATGTTGGTGCTTGTGTCTGCTCTGCAGGGCGGGGATACCGCGGCGCTTTCAACCGCTTTTGTTTGCGGCCCGGGCGAGTGGAGGAGGTCGAACCCATCGCCAACCAATTCTCGGTGATTGATGCCGCTGGCACACAAGCGAGAAGAGCAGCGGCACTGTGCCTGTCCTGTTCTGTCTGGTCGTTCGCTGATCAGGTCCGTGTGTGTCTGAAGGAGAGCCATCGGAGAGCGGCTGGCGTGCTCAACCCTGATTTCCGGGCCGGTGAAGCGCAGGATGCGGCCTGCTGCTCATGCAGGTAGGTACCTACCAACACTGCACTGCACGTGACCAACCAACAGCGTCCCGCCATGGCAAAAGATGCACCGAGTGTCCCCCTGCTGTCTGTCTGTCTGTCTGTGTCCTGCAGGCAACGGTCGATGTCCCGTTCGATAAGCAATCCCGACGACATCGACCACCACCAGAGCCCCTTTCTCTCCTCTTCACCCCCTACGGCACCCTCCTCCAACAGCAACCACCACCACCAGCAGCAGCAGCGGTCTGCCGTTGAGCCGTTGTCGTCATGGGTGCCCTGGCACGAGGCGGGTGTCACGCGCAAGGGGCGGAGAGAGAAGGGCGGTCAGCAGCGCGACAGCCGTGGCCATGAGCAGCAGCTGGCGAGCGATGCTCTGGCAAACACGTAAGCTGCGAGGGAAAGGGATGGAGGTGTGTACGAGACTGTGTCTTGCTTTGGTTGCAGTCAGTACCACGGCCGTTTCCCGAGGAGCTGGACGGAGTACTCAGACGTATTCGGTGAGCGAGACGAGACCCAGACACGGCTTCTCTTCTCCACGATCATTTGTTCATGTCGTCTTGTGCTGTGTGTCAGGTTTGGGTGTCCATTTAGTGTGCAAGCAGGTGTCGCCCTTCATCCCTCACCAGTACGTCGACAGCTGCCTGCCCGTCTCATGCTTCCAATGGCTCATACACAACGCAAACGACGAACCCGCAGAGGCAGGCGCAAACCACACCACATCACACTGCACTGCACCACAGAGCTTCCTATCCTATGCCCCCACTCCACTGCTGTGTTCTTCTGTGTGTTGCTTGTAGGTGTCCCTGATGTTCACCTGGCAGAATGAGGTCCGCGACGATGACGGCGTGCGTGGCGGCCACTGCCACAGGCCATTCGAGGGCCCCCAAGTCAGCAGCGGCGTGCTGCTGCACCACTCGCTCCCCCCAGACAAGACCGCCCAGCGCGACGGCGCCGTCACCCTCACCGAGTCGGCCGCAGACCCCCTGACCTTCGGCATTGCCGTCAGGAGCGACGATGGCGTCGAGGGCTCATGCTGCCCGGTCTTCGACTGCAACGGCACCGGCAACGACATATGGCGGCCGTTCTCCCGCTCTGGGCGGCTGCAGGCGCAGCCCGGCGACATCAATCCGGAGGTCAACCTGCCCGTCTCGAGGGAGGGGGAGAGGTGGGGGGCGGGGGTGTGCGGTAAGGTCACGGTGCCGCCGCGCTCCTCCAGACGTGTGACGTTCGCTCTGTCGTGGGATATGCCCGTCGCCCGGTTCCCCCTGGGCCATCCGTGGCGACGGCGGTACTCGACGCTGTTTTATGAGGGTGAGGACTTCGTCAACGGCGGAGTGTTTGACCCGTTTCCTGGCGAGGAGAGGGGCGGGCTGTCGACCTGCAATGTTGCCGCACAGCTGTGCGAGTATGCCATGCGCAAGGTGAGCAAACAGGGAGGGCGGGAGGCGGACAGGGAAGGGACAGGGCGGGGAGGTTGTGAGTTTGCCGATGCGATGAGTATGTTGTGTACGTGCTGGTGTGTTCAGATGGAGCATTGGGAGAGTGAGATTGAGGCGTGGCAGCGGCCGGTGCTCGACGATGCCACACTGCCACAATGGTTGGCGCCTGTAGCAAGCAACAGATACACACGGAGAGAGAGGTGAGTTGTCTTGGTGCTTGTCTTGTGTGTGTTCACTCACTCACCCAGGTACAAGTCGGCTCTCTTCAACGAGCTGTACTTCCTGGTGGAGGCGGGGACGCTGTGGACGAACGGCAAGCCATGGAAGAACAACGTCAAACAGCCCATACAGCCATGGTAGGTAACACACACAACACATTACAACACATCGCCCACACACGAATGGCTGGCCCCTACTCGATTGATTGTACCATACCATCCTGCCTTTCGCTCTCTCTCTCTGTCACCAGGTGGCAGCCCCTGGCCGCACAGGCTCTCTCAGCCCCGCTCTCCGTCCCCTCCCACCTGGCGTCGTCCATCAAGCGCCGCGCCAGGTGGCCCCTCTTCGCCGCATGGACCACCAAAGCGCGCGACCCACGCCTCAGCCTCTACACCCCGCCCACATCCACCGCTCCGCCCTCCTCCTCCGTCACGCCAGCCTCGCCCCTCTCCAGCCAGAATTCTTCCCCCGTCTTGGCGCCGTTTGTGGTGTGCGATAACGGAGGGCTGCAGCAGAAGGTGCGGACGGCGTGTGTGGTGCCGACCCTGGCTGATGCGGAGGGGTGCGAGCAGGCTCACCTGATGTCCCTGAGGAGGGGAAACGGGACGATTGCCAATGTTGGCGGCGGGTCGGATGGCGACAGCGACGTGCACTTGTGCGACATTGGCGACGAGAAGAGCGCGGAGCCGTTTGGTCATTTCCTGTACCTGGAGGGGCTGGAGTACCTCATGTACAACACATATGACGTGCACTTCTACGCATCCTGGGCACTGGTGGGTCAATGGGCGGGAGGGAGGGAGGTTCACTCAGGGGGAACAAGACAACCACAGCCACAGCAAGCAGATCTTTTCCTCCTAGATCTTTTCCTCCTGTCTGTCTACCTGTGTGTGTGTGTGTGTGTCGTCAGCTGGCGCTGTTTCCCCATCTGGAGCTCAGCCTGCAGCGGGACTTCGCCAGAGTAAGCCGCACACCCATGTCCATGCGCCCAGCGACAACAGACATAGACAAGTACATTCATCTGTGTGTGCGTCAGGCCGTCCTTCGCGAGGACGAGGAGGAGCGCACATACGTCTACCAAATGAACCACCGGGGCAAGCGGAAAGAACAAGGTCAGCGAGCGAAGCGAAGCGGGCCATACAGATAGTCAAACAAACCACACTGACCGAATTGTCTCTCATGACGGACGTCAGGCTGTGTTCCGCACGACATGGGTGGCCCGGGCGAGGCGCCCCTCGTGATGCCCAACTGCTACAACCTCCACCACACAGGCAACCAACCGACGCACAGACAGACAGACACACACCCACACGCCCACATGATGCGGTCTCGTTGTTCGTTTGTGTGCAGACGACTGGAAGGACCTGCCGTGCAAGTTCCTGCTGCAGGTGTGGCGTGACTACCACGTCACGCGGGACGCCTCCTTCCTCCAGTTCTGCTGGCCCGCCATCGAGCTCTGCCTCAAGCGCACACTGCGGTTCGTCGACGCCAGCCACGGCCTTATTGTGCACGGCGGCTGGCCCGACCACACCTATGACGCATGGAGCGTCGATGGGGTGAGTGGGCGAGCAATGGGAAGGTTCCTTTGTCTGATGTTCTTGACCCGTGTGTGTGTGTGTGTGTGTGTGTTTGTGTGTGTAGTTTTCGGCTTACACAGGAGGATTGTGGGTAGCGGCGCTTCACGCGTATCTGGCGATGGTGCCTGTGGTTGAGGCGATTGGCGGGGTGGACATCACCCTGGAGGTGGACGAGATCAGGGAGCTGCAGAAGAGGGCCGAGGCCTGCTGGGAGGTGCGCATGGAAGACTGGGAGAAAGGGAGAACACAGCACAGCAGTAGTGCTCTCCCTCCCACGTGGCTGCCTGTCGTGTGCGTGTGTGGTGTGTAGGACCTGCTTTGGGACCCCGACAAGCAGTATTTCCTCTACGACAACATCGGTATGTCAAACGCACTTCTTCAGCCAGCGGCACACAACGATCGTTGTATGCAACGATCGTTGTATGGCCTCTTTGTCCACTGCCTGCAGACAACAACAGCGTCCACTCCGACCAGCTGGCGGGGATCTGGTACTCGCGCGCCACGGGCCTCCCATACGCCGTCAACGACGACAAAGTCACCGCCGCCCTCAAGGTCACCACGACACACACACCACAAGCCAAAAAGACACCATATCGCGGACACTACTGACCCATCCCTCGTTGTGCGTTCTTTCAGACGGTGTATGAGGCCAACGTGGGCGGCTTCCAGAACGGCCGATGGGGTGCGGTCAACGGGATGCACCCAAACCTCAAGTCGATCGACAACTCGTGCATCCAGTCGAGGGAGGTGTGGACGGGCGTGACGTACGCCTTGGCGGCCACCATGCTGCAGTCGGGGCTGGACACCGAGGCCTTCGTGACGGCGGGCGGCATCTGGCAGGCCTGCTGGCGGGATCTGGGGTTCTGGTACCAGACGCCGGAGGCATTTGACGTCCATGGCAGGTCAGTGGGGGGACCGGCAAACACACAGAAGGCATCTTCTCATCCATCTCTCCATGTGTGCCTCGTTCTGGTCAGGTTTCGTTCTCTGGCGTACATGCGTCCCCTAGCCATATGGGCCATGCAATACGAGATCGACCAGCGCAAGAACACCCAGCCCATGAACATCAGTCTGCCCGCAGTCTCCCGCCACCTTACCCCACTCGACGCACTCATCCCCGACCCTTCGCCCGCGCCATCGCCCACGTCATCTCCCGACAACCGACAGATCGAGCTCGTCCCCACACACAGGACGCCACTCCCACCCCTCCTCAGCGACGAGAGGAGGGAGAGGGAGAGGGAGAGAGAGGACAGCGATGGTCTGATGCTGCCGTCGCTGGTGGGTCGCGCAGCGAGTATGGGGAGCGAGGACGCAGCTGCGGCTGGTGCTGGGGATTGGTGCGTGAAGGTGAACGGCGGTGGGTCGTCGTCCTGCCGTGACGAGAGCAATCGGACGAACAGAGGCTTCTCCCCGGCCATCAGCTCATCCTCATTCTCGCCGGCAATGGGGACGTCCCCGTTGCCGAGACGGCGGTCGGAGGCATCATGCGAGAAGGGGGCGTAGGGACGGAGGGAGGATGAGTGTGTGGGGGGGGGTGGTATTGCTTTGTTTTGTTCTGTTTTGTTGATGGTGTTGCGTGTGATGGATTGGGCGTGTCGCCACTCGTTGCGGATGGACACAAGATGGTGCTCATCCGCTGTGCCCAGCGGATGGTATGTTCCATCATGTATTCATGTGCAACGGCTGGACCGACCAGTGCACCACACGCACACGTGACGAAGACAGATGAGATGCTATGGCCTCCGATGGAGAGGGGACGATTCCTTGGTCCATGTTTTTGAATTCGCTGTGGTGCGCTTTTGTTTCCGATGCGTTTGTTGTCCGGGAGGCCGATCAGCGAGTCTCTCAGTTGGGTCGGTCTCTCTCTCTCAGTGGCTTCTCCTGTGTGTGCGTCGGTGTGTGTCGTGTACAGGGAGAGTTCATCTGGCTAGTGCTTTATTGCGTCGTTGGTCTGTGTCTGTGTGTATAGGGCGGGAGGGAGGGAGAGAGGGAGGGCCGTCGATGGCTGCGTGCGTGTGTCTTGCTGATGAGTGCGAGGGCGAGTGCCGTCTTCCTCCTCTTTCAACACGTGTTGGCGTGTGTACGTGGCTGAGCTGCCTGCCTGGCTGCCTGAATTGCACTGCTTGGTTTGATGTGCAGTCGGCTGGCCACACAGTCAGCGATCTGCCTTGCTAAGATGGATGGTTCATGGTGGATGTGGGTGTGTGTGGGTGTAAGTGTGGACGCCAGCAAACCACATCGGCTTTTTTCCCCAGACCCGATGTGACAGACCGACAGACACTGCTTGTAGTGAAGACACTCAAACCAAGTCAATTGCCGACATGAGTTCAGAACCGAAAGACGGTCGATCCATCAGACATGCACACGCATGCACCAGCCACACGGTCTTCATGTGATGCCTTGTCGTGTGTGACTCGACAGACACACAGCCTGACGTCACACAAACATTTCAGACCCACGTACACAGAAACGCCGTGAGTCCTTGCCTGGGAAGCAGGCCACTCTCACCGTTACAGGACACGAGTTGCCTTCACGAGCACAATCCTTCCATCCTCATGCTTCCGTCTGTTGATGGTGAAGCCGCCCACTCGAGTGCCGTCGGGGAGCAGCGCATGAATGGCATCGCCAAGGTCGCCAGGCAGCATGTGATACACCTCCACCTCCACCCCCACACGCATCAGGCCACGGACACCGGCGGTGAGCAGAGACGTCAGTCCGTCGCGGATGATCTTGGCGGCGGCAGAGGCCTCCAGCCCATGGGGCACTGAATGACGACACACAGACAAGGAGGATGGACACAAACACAAGGTGAACCGACGAGCTCCTTCCTGCACTCACTGCCCTCCCGGCATACCTTCTAAGCGCATTTCTATCTCTCGAACCGACGGCAGGCCATTCGACCCCCAGCCGTCAAAGGCGCCGCCCTTCATGAGACTGACCGCAACAACATCGACAGTGCCCTGCGGGAGAATGACCGAAACTGACCCACCCACACCGACATTTGTCACCACCCTCCCCGCCCCGAGCGCCTCCAGCACACCACTCCTGTCCTGTGCACTGACAGCTCCATCAAAATTCACCCTCCCCAAATCCGCTCTGAACCCCACCCTCACCACCTCCCTGGGCATCTTGTGCACCAGCAAACGGCCCGCAGACCCGCCCAGAGGGCTGTAGACACACAGCTCTCTCGCCCAGAGGGCAGTTGGGAACTGCTGCAGGTGGTTGATGATGGCGGGGGCGGGTGGTGTGGTGCCGCGAGGGGGGACGAAGCCAAAGGCATTCGCGACCAACACGTAATCGCACGTTGACGAACGAGAGGCTCGATGCGATGTCGATGGCCGCCGGGCTGGGGTCGTCGATGGGGTGGGTGATGTCGTGCTGGCTGATGGCGTAGGTCAACTTGTCCGCCTGCCGTGCCGCCTCCTTGATGGCCGTCTTGATGAAGGGCGAGGGGCGAGGAGGGAATGCGTCGGCGTAGAAGACGGCCAAGTTGAAGAAGCCCCCCACAATCCGCACGTTGAGCGGGACGTTCGGCGAGGTGCAGCAGGTGTTGATGAAGCCGTCGACGGACAGCAGGGCAGAGAGGTCGTCGTGGCCCGCGAATGGTGGGATCTCCACGTCGAGGCTCGTCAGCGACTTGCGGCAGCCACGGGAAGTGAGCACGTCCTTGAAAGAAAGAAAGAGAGAAGAACGTCAATCGTCTGTGTGCACAAACAGATGAGGCCTCCCCTGTGTGATGATTGCCTACCCGCAGTCGTCTCACTCCTGCCAGGTATTGCTCTGCTGTCTCCCAACCACCGTGACGCTTAATCCCTCCGATGGTCTTCAAGTGGCTGAGCGGCCCTGGTTGGCCGCCAGGTGCCTCGGGGAAGTGCTCAAACACAGCCGCCCACTGCCCCCATGACCGCCATCGCCCCCCAACCTCTTTCAGCGACTGAGACGAGCTGATGAACCGGCCCAGCTCGTCGACATCCCAGCCATCCTGATCCATACGCTCGAGTGCGGGCATCTTCCAGCCCCTGTCGGCCAGCACACTGTGCTCACCGACGGCTCCGGTGACGGCCCTGAGGGCATGGAGAGTGGGGAACTCGGCGAGGGGGCCAGGGAGGGAGAGCGAGTGACGTGTGCGAGTGGGGGCGCGTGGTGAAGTTGATGGTCTCCAGCGATCCCTCCGCCATGAGCTGCTGCCCCTCCTTCTCGCGCGCCTCGCGCCGCCCGGCCGCATGGCCCTCCACGATGCTTATCATGCTGCCCAGACACCACAACCAGTCGCGGCGTCGCTGCACGAAGGTGAGGGCCGTCAGGTTGACGAGCCGTCTGCCAGCTGGAAGGCCTCCTCAGGCGTCAGGCTCTCCCAGAAGTGACGGTCGCCCTCGGTCGAAGAGTCGATGGCGACGTGTGTCTGTTGGTGGAGGGCTGCCGTGTGGATGAGGGAGGGGCTGCTCTGCGTGGCACCAAAGGATGATTGCTGCCCGAAGGCCGGACCGCCAAGCATGCTGCCCCGAGCTGACAATGACGGTCCACTGACTGAAGACGACGCCGCCACACCTGATCGACCTACACACACATGCAGGCAGTAGGAGATTGATCCATCCATCCATCCATGTGTGTGTTGTCCCTCATGTCAGTCACCTGTGCCGCCAGTGATGCTGCCGCCGAACATGCCAGCCGTCCCAGTGGCAGCCCCGCCCTGGCCAAACAGACTCCCTCTGCCAGCGCCGCTGCTTGTCGACCTGACTTCGCCGAAGAGAGAGCCACCTCCCGACGCTGCCGCCCCACCATGAAAGAGATCGCAACCTCCTCCCGTGGATGCCTTGCCGAAGTCGAATGGGCCGCTGGCGGGTGTGGCTGTCGACTGTGATGTGGTTGGCGCTTGGGCAGGCGCGAAGATGCCGGCGAAGAGGGGCGCTGGGGCTGTGGTGGTAGTGGTGGGGCTGGTGGGGTTTGGACGGGCAGCACTCACGCGCTTGGCGCGGGACCGTGGTTTGTCCGCAGGTGTGGCTGCGCCCATTGTAAACAGCGACGAGGGACGGCCGCCTGATGACGCAGCTGCGGCAGCACTCGACATGGCCCCCTCTCCCGTCGATGTGCCGATCAGAGATGGTCCGCTAAACAGAGAGGGGAGCGATGCCGCACCCGGCAGCGCCCCGTCGGCCGTGTCCTCCTTCGATGCCGCCATGGTCTCGCCCTTGAGGGGTCCAAAGGCGGCGCCCGCAAAGAGCGGACCGCCAGTGGTCGACGGCAGGGCGGAAGACGATGCCATGAGGGAGTCGGTGCTGCGAGGGGGAGGGAAGATGGCCGACAGCTCGCGAGGGGTCATAAGGCTGAACACTTTCCCCAGAAGGTCCTCGCTGAAGCGTTCAGGTGCCTGAGGCAGAGACAAGACCAAGGGAGATAGACATGAGAGTGGCTGACATCGGTCGTGTGTCGTGTGTGGCCGTGTGTACCTTCTTGCTAACATCCCACACCTGCACACACACCACACCACACACCAAAGCACCACAGACAAACATCACAGAGTGCCATCCAGGGAGCTTTCTGCTGACGTGTGTTTGCCTACCACGGGTGGCTGTGGGCTCGTCTGTGTGTCTGTGTTGGTCTGGTGCGGCACCACTCGTATGAACTCCTCCCCCCTCCGGCCGACCTCCCTCATGTAGAGCGCCGTCCCCTCGTGCAGAGTGCCCGCCTTCATGTAGACTACATGCGGGTCGACGCTATAAATTCTGGCGGTGACCCACACGTAGTCATTGGTCGGAGCCCTCCTGGAGCTCGACAGCAACACAACACGGGTGCCCTCTTTGTAACGACTACTCGCAGACCGTCCCATCACCTGATGAAACGAAGACAAGCAAACGAAGAAATGATTGAATCATTGACGGTGGCACACGATGAGTGTGTGTGTGCTGTGCCTTGACTCACCTCGGCCTGATGCGCAGCACCGGCAGATGAAGATGAAGACGAAGCTGCCATGGCGGCACTCAACCACGGCTGACGAGAAGAGCACACGTGTGTGTGTGTGTGTGTGTATCGCTCTCGGCATCTGTGTGCTGCTTGCCGGCGAGATGTGTCGAGCAGAATCCAATGAGCGATGGCTCTCTGTCAGCCGAGGCTTTTATCGAGGAGGCCGACCTCCCCAGGGCACTCACGCCGACTCTGAGTGCTAATCCGCTGTAAAACACGCTAATCTATTCCTCGAAGGCGAGCTCATTCGCTGAGCTCGCGATCAATTCATGAACGCTTTTATTCATGGCCAGCCGATTGATCACTCCAAATGGGACCACAGTGACGTCAGCGACGACGACAATGGAGAAGAAACAAGCAGCCACAGACAGCCGACAGTCACGAGATTCGATGCGCCGCAGGAAGTGACCGGTGGCGGCATAAAGGACGAGGCACTCATCCGGCCGTCGGCAAGTGCTGCTGCTGCCCCTCCGCCCCGCCACGGGTCGAGGGAACCGAAGATCTGCCGCGGGTCATGACGGGCGAGGCGGTGAGTGGCCTGCCGACGAGCCGATGGACATCGACAGGGGCCTCCCATTGTGTGCGGGGCGAGGCGGCCTGGCCAGCGGATCTGACGAGGAATGGCAGGGCCACTGACAGACACCACTGGTCAGAGAGGGAGCAGGGACAAGCAAATGGATGACGACATACATGTAGAGGGGTGGCCCCGTGTGGGTGGCTTCCTTTCTCGCATTCAGATCTCAGTCGCGCTATGGCCTGACGGTGAGCGTCATCGTGCCGCCAGATACCGGTGCACGGGATTTCCGCATCAACCTAGACGAGCAGCACCTCACCGTCATCTGCAAAGGGCAGAAGGTGACGTTCGGCGGCCGGGTCGCATTGATTTCCATAGTGGCTATGGGAAACAACAACGGTCAGGTCGACAGACACCTCTGCTCGTCGAATGTCATCATGGTTCTCTCCCTTTTGTGTCTGCAGTGCGCGTGACTGTGAGTACGACTGAGGCACCGGTGTGTGCGAGTGGTGCCTTTAACGAGTGGTGCCTTTAAGGACCGCTTCCCCGAGACGACCGCCCTGGCTCGCACAGATGGTCTTCGACCAATAGACAGCCGACAGCAGCTGTACCAAATGACAGGTGCCTAAGGCGTCCACACGAGCAGATGCAGATCCACACACACAGACACACACACACGCACACGCACACGCACACGCACACACACAGAGAGAGAGAGAGAGAGAGTGTGATGCCCTGCTCTTTCCATGTGTCTGTGGATGCGTCAGGATGAGTGGCCGAGGTGGTGCTGCTACTGCTGCTGACGTGAGAGTGAGTGGTCGAGGGATGGATGGCTCGATTGAAGCTGGCAATTGACAGACTCTCTTTTTTTCGTTTTTGCGATTGGCCCTTGTTATCTGATTTGGTCGGATGCGTGTAATGGCTGGTGGGGTGAGGGTGTGTGAACCAACAGCTCAATTGCCGCCATGCATGCATTGAGAAAAACAAGGCAGGAATGCACGGAAACACATGCGTGCGTGTGTGCGTGTGCGTCCGTGCATGTGCCTTGATGTGGCGTTGTTGACGTTGCAGTGTGGAGATGTACGATGCGACAGACAATGCTTGTTATGAAGATGCTCAACCAACTTTGTCCATTCACGTGTTCGATCCATCGGCTCACACCAACGGTCATTCTTATTCGTTGTGCGCCTTCATGTGGACTTCAATCTCCAGTTGTCGCCTCTCCATGCGCTGCAACGCTGAAAAAATGAGACAAGAACCTCTTGATGCATCCAATCGAGATTTGAAGGTCTTTGAAATGTATGTGGACCTGTCATGATGTCTCGGTTCTCAACGTTGTGAAATCCTGCGGATTCAAGCCACTCGTCTATCTGTGAGTGCTCGAATTCGCGAGACACCGAGCGAATGAGGGTGCCATCTTCCCCTCGACGTTCGATGAGTGTCGTGGACACACGAAGGCGAGTAACGACGCCTCCTTCCTCGATCTCTCTTTCCACGGAAGACGAAGTCTCCCCCGTCCCCCGTTTCCCCTCTCTCTCTGCTCGAATGAAGGCAATGAAGAAGGAGGGAATTGCCAAGGGGACCGAGAGAAGGAAGAGGAAGACCACAGAATGTCTCTCCACCGCTGAGGGCTCGATTCATCTTTTCTCCGGCTTTGGCCAGCACCGCAAGGGCGATCACAGGAATGAAGGCGACAGTAAAGAGAAGGGCCTCGATGGTCGCGTGAAGTAGAGAAACTAGCAGGAAGATCACCGCTGAGATGTTAAGGCCGCTCGGCCGATCTGAATCTGAACGCAGTCACAATGCGCATTCAGGATACGCATTGTCTGCATTGTCTGTGTTGATACCATGAAGCCTCGCAGCGGCTGCGATCAGCGAAGCAAGGTACTTTAAGGGAAGAACCAATATCGCACCTGAGGGAACAACATTGGTAGATGGTTGGTTTTCAATATTCGTACCTATGAGGTTGAAGGGAGGTGGAAGCTGCTCCGTGGATGACATATGTAAGTACTCGTTTATCACCCGAACTTTCAGCAGTCTACAATTCAGAATAGGACGGTGATATAGATTAGTCCACCAGTTTTCCTTTATATGTCTTACTGATACTGAGCGCTTTGTGTCTCTTCGATTGCTGCCCAAGTTGAGGTCATGATGGCGATAAGGAGATTCACCTATATTCGCGACCAAAACAAGCTTGACAGACATTTTGCATCTCTCCTTTGATATTCCTGTTCTAACCAGTATGATTGATGATAGAATGACATAGACCAGAAAGAGACATGTCGTGAGAAGCTCCTGTCTCTCGATCGAGTCATTCATCGGGTCCTGAGAATCGCCCAATCCTGCATAGAAGCTGCTCAAGAGCCCATCAGCAGTCATCTGAGTCTTTGCATTCTATGTGTTTATGCTGACAGAGTGAGTATCGCCTTGCTGTAGGTATCAAAGTGCTCTGAGTCGTGATTCAGTGCCACGAAAGCCGCCGCGAATATCAATAAGATATACACATACAGCAGCAAGAAAAGACCGATGTCCGACATCGTTTTGATGACGGCTCTGCCCAACAGATTGACAGTATGTGGCTATTTGACTGTTCTTCTTTCCTCTTTGTTCCTCACAGGATGAGTGGCCCGACATTTGGATGAAGACTTGCGACTTGGAGGAGACGCAGAGCGAAGAGCAGTGCGATGAATACCAGTGACTTCATTGTCCACTCCGACGGCAAGTCTGAAGCGTAGAGGAAGATGAATCCGGCAATCCCGAGGCAGCTCAGAAGGTCTAAGATATTCCTGAGAAAGAAAGACCGCCGCACAGGAGGTGTACGACCTAAGAGATATTACCAAGAGTCTGCCCAGTATGCTGCCTTGCAGCGAATCATCTGTTAAGCAGGAGAATGATATATATATATATGAAAGGCTGTCTTGGCATTTTTCTACCTGGAAGACCTCTTGTGCAAGGAAACCGGCTCCCATGATCATGAGCCCCCATGTTGGCCACACGGGGGAGCTCTCATTGTTGACGTTGATGTTGATGTGAAAGAAGAGACCCATTATGCTGCATCAAAACATAGATGGCATATAAATGGCCCTCACATTATAACTCTGCCGTACAAGACAAGGATTGCGATGAAGCGATTGATGAAGACGGTACGTGGCGATATGTTGATGTTCCAATACTCAAGTGACAGAAAGGCCTTCTCCCAGCATCCGTCAACTATCGATATGCAAGAGCCTGAAGTTTTAAATCAAAAAACCAAAAAGTGCAGTTGCGTCAGCAAGGTTCCGAGGTTGTTCACCTTCTGTCACCAATTCCAGCGGTTCAGTCTCCTCAAGAAGCCGAAGAATATCTTCCTCTCCGTACTGCAGCGACTGCTGAAACACGCCAGGTTGTCTGTTGCAAAACGTTGCTGTGAAAGTCTGAGACGATCAAGTACAGACAGAAGATAAGCAAGAGACGGCGACAGAAGTCTGACCTTAAGCCATTTCACAAGGCCTTCGAGTTCTCTGCACATAGGAAACAACATACACAGCCACCCAGATGAACGGTCCTTACGTTGCAATGGAGTGTTTCTTGTTGGAGATTAATTCTTTAAGAATGGAACAGCAGTTCAAGCTGTGCAGGGCAGGGCAGCCTGACTTCCTCAGCCATGACGCCAGGCCACTCTTCACGTAGGGCAGCATTTCGGAATCGAGCTTTTTGGCGAGGGCTTCGATATCGGAAGGCATCAAGGGCTCTCTGGGATCAATCTGATGAAGACACAAACAAAGCGATAGTTCGGACACTCACTTGTCCTTTGCTTGTCCTTCCCACACTGCACCCGTTCCGCAGCACGCCGCAGCCGAGAGAGGAACGCGTCAGCCCTCTTTCTATTCTCCCTCTCGTCATTGATGAATCGGCGGCCAATGGAAGGTTCGCTTTCTTCGAGTTCGGATTGCGAACCCTCATCATCATGATGGAGGAGAGGCACAAAGCTCTGAAGGTCGCGCTGAAAACAAACCATTGCAATACATTGCAATCGCAACGGGATGTCGCTGCGAGGCGTTTGTACCTTCATCTCGATTGCCCCTCGCATTCTTCCCGCCTTTCCGCCTGCGCCTTCAAATGTTTCAGGCTGGGGGCCGCGCTGGCTCGGCCAGGATCGTCACTGATCGCCCCAAATGGGAGGAGTGGCCACCTCCACAGCTGTGCTTCCGCTTGAGATGACAACCATTCATTCACTATGGCTGATGCAAATGATCGATCACCAGACCAGACGACAGTGATTGATAGGCGAAGCAATAAGGTAGGGGACGGATGGGTCCATCAGAGACACACAGACACACAGACACAAGATGCATCAATCCTCCATCTTCAATGTAGGCTAGCCAAGGAAGCCTCTATCAAAGCCCCGCCCGCCAGACACGCTTCTAGCGCTGCTCAACTCAGACACCACTCGGGGCGTCGACACACCCCGCACGGACGGCAGTGGGGAAAAGGGCACCACAATGCTCCCAGGAGGCGCAGCCGGCGGCCTGGCCGGCAGCATCGCCACCACAGGGGCATGAGCACGGGCATGATACCTCTGCTGTGCTGGCGGTCCCGTGGCCTGCCTCTGCACCCATGGTGGCGGCATCTGTTGCTGCTGGTGATGCTGCTGCCACACAGACTGCATTGGCATCAGCTGTGCCCCCTCCCCTCTTGGCTGCTGGTGGTAGATGGCGTGCAGGACGGCCTCTACGGGGGGGAAGGCGGGGATGGAGAGAGTGCCGGGCGGGGGCGGTTTGAGCTCCAGGCCAGTGGGTGCACGCGCCAGGGACGACGAGGAAGGGACAGGGGGCGGGGGAGAGCTGGGCTGCTGCTGGTCATGGTGCTGCTGCTGGTGCTCTTCGCAAGGGGCGGTCTCGTCCTCTGCTTCTGACTCGATGTCGGACACTGCACAGAAAAGAGGACCGTTTGGAGAGCAGATTGATGTGTCTCGTGTCGGTACTTACGTGATATGTCAAAGTTGAAACGGAAGTGGTTGAATGCACCCTCTCCGCTGCCCTGGCCAGCTGCCACTGCCTTGCCCTCTTCCCTCTCTCCCCTCCCATCCTGCCCCAGATGGTCCTTCTTCCCGCCACGGTCACTCTGCACGACAACCCCCCTGCGTGGCGTCCGCCCCCGGCCGCGAGCCGTCACAGGGCTCCGCGGAGACGCGCTCGCAGATCGCGATCGGCTGCCCCTCGATGCTGGCTTGGATGGCGGGCTCTTGAGGGGTGGAGGTGGGTTTTTCTTGCGATGGGTCGCCGGGCGGTCGCGTCGTTTCTTGGGTACATAGATGATCGCCTCTTCCGCCTCTTGTTTGTCACGCCCTTTTCTCCCCCCATGCCCGCCGCGGCTGCCGAGCAGCTCGTCCAGTCGGCGCGAAGATGAGGAGGCAATGCCAGCCTGGGCTCTCTTTTTTCCGTCGTCCCTGCGAGAGCGGTCCTTGACATGCTCGTCGACTGCTGCTGGTGGTGGGGGGACGGGCCAGTCGATGGGCTGCCTGGGCGGCTCGGCGGTGGTGAAGTCATTGTCAGCCGTGACGAGCTCGAATGGCAAGGGGGGCTGCGCGGGAGACGGCTGTTGGTGCTGTTGCTGGTACTCTTGCTCCTCTCCCCCTGCCTCCTCTCCTCTCGCCTGTTGGGTGGCTGGCCTTGGGGGATCGACGGACGGTGGGGGTAGGGGCGAGGGAGGACCTGGTGCCTTGATGGCGGCGGAAGTGTGGAGAAGCTGCGACAGCATGTCGTTCAGCTCCTGCTCGTGGCGGCTGATCGACCAACCAAAGAGGAAAGACAAAAATGCAGTTGGTCGGTTGTGTGCTGAGAGACATGTTTTTGGCGTTTGCATGTTCCCGACCGACCTTGTTGTGTCCTTGATCTTCTGCGCCATGTCATCGCGTTCCATCCAGAAAAGCATAGAGAGCCGTCGGCATTCGGCGTCAGTCTCGGCCTGGCAGACAAATATCCCCCCCACACACGTGGGGATCCACACCGTCTGGCTGTTCATGAAAGCCCTCTTCCAACCTTACCCTGTCCATCATCTTCTGTCTCTTCTTCTCCTCTCGCCGCTCCCTCTCCAGCAGATCCAACAACTCGCCGTTCTGCAGCCGACGCAGCTCCTCAAGGCAGCTACTCGGGTCACCCAAGACCTCACCCTCACCCTCATCTCTGTCTACCCCCTCGCGCCCTCTTTCCCCCTCTTTCACGTTGTCCGCACCGTCGTGGGCGGCCTCATGCACCTGGAACTCGTCTATTGGCGGCGGGAATGTGCGTGTGGGGATCAAGAGGCCCTCGTGCGGTGGGGAGGGCGGCTGCTGCTCGCGGATGAGACGCTTGGTGGACGGCAGCCCGGAGAAACTCATGGATGCTGACGAGAGAAGGGCAGAGAGCAAAAAAGGGTACGGTGTAATTTGTCGCGGGCTCATGTTACCTTTGTGTTCATGTTGTTTCCATGGTGGTGGGTTCTTTTCCAGCCATTCGCGGTACGGCTCGTGCACGACCTCCTGGGTGGTGGTAGCAGTGTCCTTGGCCGCCTTCTTCTTGACTGACGCGCCCCCGCCCTTCTCCTTGCGCACACGCACTATCAAGCCCCTCTCCCTCTCCCCCCTCGCTCTGCCACTCCCCCTTTTCTCCTCCTCTGTCGGCCGCACCGTAGCCATCTCCCCATCGCGGCACGCTGCGGCAGCCACAGACGACAGCAGAGGGCTTTGGTCTTGCTTGTCCGGAAGCGGTGCCCGCGGAGTGCTCCCGTCGTCCTCCTTGACTGCGCCTGGGGGCGACTTGGGTGACTTGGGCGGCTTCCATGCAAATGTCCGCTGTGCGTCATCCGCGTCATCCACTTCGGTGGCGGTGTGGTCGGCGGGTATCTGAGCTTGTGGGCGTGGCTGTGTGGCTGGTGACTTGGGTGGTGGGAGGGGCGAGGGAGAGGGGGGGCTGGAGGGCTCGAAGGTGAAGGCATGAACTGATGGAAGAGAAGAAGTGCCTTCACCATTTCATCGGATGTGTGCACGTGAATGGATACCTGCGTCTACAGTAGCCTTTTTGACGTGCTGCATGTGGTCGTGTATGCGTTTCTTCTCGGCCTCGAGGGCCCGCCGCGCCTCATCCTTATCGCGCAGACGACGGTCACGCTCCTCACGCCAACTGCACAACACCCATTGTTGTGGCGCTTTCATGATCTGATGTTTTTCTCTTACCGTTCGATACGCGACTGCTTCCACATGACGGCCTCTTGCACCCGCTGCAACAACCAATCGGCAGTCCGACAATGAGCAGATGACCATTAAAAGAGATGTGTGGCTGCCGAGTTTAGGCACCTCTTTCTGCATCTCCTGCTCGATCTCGCGAGAGCGCTTGACCATGTCGCGCCGAGCCTGCAGACACAAACGGACCTCCCTAGCGTGTGACTGGCCATTGTGTGTGTCTTTGTGTGTACCTCTCTCTGTTGGCGGGCGATCTGTCGGTGCTGCTCTGACATGTCCTGCAACCTGATCAAACAGGAACACAAAGACCACAATACAAGTCCTCCCCCCTTCCATCCGTCGTCCGTCTGTACCTCTTGATATTCCGTTCCCTCTTCTGCACCACAAGTTGGTTCTTGAGTGCGGCCTCGAACTTGCGCCGCTCCTCCTCTATCTGACGCGATGCCAGACGCTCGCTGCGGCACAGCTCACGCGACGTGCGGGCCTCCACATCCTCCACAGACATCACCCAGGGACTACTGCAGCACATAGTGCAACAGACACATGTTGTGTGTAGGGGTGTTTGTACCTTGAATTTGGTGCGGGGCGGCTGGTGAGCGATGGTGTGCCCATCAGCGATGCCCCGGTGCCCCTCTCCCTCGACGAGTGGCGAACACGACTCCCAGGGCGCCTGTCGATGGAGCCGCTAAGGCTGATGAGGAAGGAAACGAACAGACCCAGGGATGAATGATATGGGGACCTCTTTGATGGAATGGTGTGTACCTGGCTATGGACGCATCGAATGCAGGCTCGGCCTCATGCTGGCCGAGGGGCGCCTCGTCCTCCTCATAGCCGCCCTGTATGGATGAACGAGTGAATTGCACATGCACAATTCACCCACATCTGTCCATTCATCTGCATCATGATGCGTGTGTTTGGTGTCGTGTGGTGTGTACCTACCGAGTATCGTTTCTCCTGTCTGTAGGTCTTGAGGGTCTCCTCTCGCGCCTCGGCACGCTGCCGGTACTGCTCGGCCTCCTCCTGGTACATCATGATGGACACGTCCAAGTGAGCTGCCTGTGGAACAGAGACCACACATCTTTGATGCATCGCTGCATCTTTCTTTGTGTGTTGACCCACCTGCTGCTCAAGCTGCTCCACGAGGTCCTTCTTGCGTTCCTGGGCCAGCTCTAGCCGCTGCTGGAAGTACCCACAATGCGTTTCGTAATGCTCTACCAACGTCGCCATCGCACCTGCGCGCCACGGAAACAGAAGATAGACCAATTCAGGCACCATAAATGATTGCAGCCATCATGATGTGGCCATCCTGCCGTCGCTCACCCTGCAGATACTTCTCATCACGGATGACTAGGTCCAGGTCTTGCGCCGTCCATTGCGAGGCCAGAGGGGCGGAGAGCGAAGGAGGCTGGGGAACCCCTGGGCCATCCTGAAGGCCATTCGCCGCCATTTGCTCCCACGAGGGACCGTAAATGGAAGGCTGCCGAGACGCCCACAGACGTGCCCACAGCCCCCAGATCGAGAGCTCGAAGAGCTGGCGTCCCGGCAATGTGGTAATTGGACGGCTTCTTATTTTCTGCCCTGCATGCACTCGTCTGCTGCTGCCGCGCTTCGGTCTGAGGCTGCTGCTCTGTTGCGGTAGGTGACGTTCGCTGAAGAGGAGTGCTTGAGGATGATGCAGCAGCCGACGAACCGTCGCGTGACAAGGGTGGAGAGCCCTGCTCCTCAAATGGGCCAGCAAGGTGAGTTTAGTAACAAGCTGCTCTGTAATGGTGTCGATATCCCTGTGTTCAACTGGACACAGGCGGCAACCGGCCCGGTGCTGCAGAGCTGCAGCGTCGCCATGTCTGCGGCACCCGTCCTCGAGCAACGACTCCTCAGGCCCCAAACCGGGCGCCCACATTCACCAGAATGCATGACAAAGGTGAGAGACCTCCAGAGAAGTTTCATTTGAAGCCGTGATCCACTTTGTCCTTGCAGCTCCCTGCCGTCGCCCTGTCCGTGGCATGAGCCCGCTTCCGCTGCACGAGCAGCGTCGGCCGTTGTTTTTGCAGGCGAAGCCGCCCCAGCTGCCGGGACGCCACACTCTCAAACCCATGCAGTATCGCAACCCAAGCCCAGGTAGGCAGAGATGATCCCTTGTGCAATGGAACGTGTGTGTGAGCTTTTCACGTGTCTCCTTCTCTGTGTGTTTGCAGTGCCCAACTACGCCAACAGGACGCCCATCAGGCGCCGTCAGCATGAGATTGACGACGCTGACCGGGCGATGATGGGCACAGGCAGGGGCAGGATGGAGGGCGTTGGGACTTTGGAGGTGGATGTCGGCGTCATGACTAGCCCGGTGATCAGACACACATAATGAGCGATGATGACAAACAATGATACTTTGACTTCCTTCAGCGATTTGGTTCGCCTCCGGAGAGGAAGAAGGCGCCAGGCATAGCCGCCCCCCCGCCCCTGGCCATCCCGCCCATGGGCTACATCCCCACCGTCACCGACAAAGCTAAGACAAAGAAGAAACAGCAGCCCAAGACTCACAGCAAGGCCCCCAGCCCTTCCCCCATCGGCCCCACCACACCAAAGCGCTCCCCATACGCCGAGGTCCCGCAAAGGCGCAAGACCAAAGCCCGCTCCGAGCAGCTGCCGGACGAGCCGAAGCAGCTGGGCTTCACGAGGGACGGCAGGAAGGGCACCTTCCGAGGGTACGAGGCCCATAACATGACCCCCATGACTCCCGCAAAGGTGCTGGCCACCGAGGTGCCCGTGCGGACGATGCACAAGCCGTATGTCGTGACGGAGCGCGTGCCCTTCAACCCCGTGATGCGTATGGTGAGGGAGGAGGAGACCACGGGGGTGCCCCCTGAGGTGGAGCTGGAGATGGCCGATGACGAGGAGTCGCACTACCTGGACCGGCCTGAGGAGGAGGAGAGCCTGCTCGCCAACCAGGAGGAGATTGTCGACCCTCAGGTGCCCGAGGACACCAGCACCGGCACCGCCATCCATCACCTCGACGAGAACGCCACGCAGCACCAACACCAACACCAACAGGAGCAGGAGCCAGCCCCTCTCCCTCAGCTTCGCTTCAGAAACTGGCTTGAGCCCGCCCGCACTCAGGCGCATCAAGACCACCGGCCACTCACCCCTGTGGTCGAGAGGGAGACACTGGCTGAGGCGCAGCCTGCTGTGCGGGCTGGGGCGGGGGCAGGGGCGGGTCGGCGGGAGAGGCCTGTGGTGGAGATGGACGTGCCGACCAACCCGTGGCAAGCGAAGGAGAGGGTCAACCGTGCCGAGAAGGAAAAGGAAAAGGAGAAGGACAAACGTGCCATCGCCCTGCCGCCAAGGAAAACAGGTACACAAGACGGGACAAATAAACAGATCGCGTCTCATCTTCCCCCTTTATCAGAGCACGTCCTGGGTATATATGGCAAGGCGGCAGAAATCCGCGACGCACGCCGTGACGCCCAGCAGGTGCGGGCCAAGGTGGCGCTGGGCGCTCGACTGACGGCGAGACCCAACACAGGAGAGAGGGCTGCCGACGACAGTGAGAGAGAGAGGGAGAGGCCGAGTCGGGAGGAGGAGCTGGAGATATGTGAGAAGGTCGGCAGCGGGGCGTACGCCAAGGTCCACCGGGCGAGGAACCGGGTGAGTGAGTGTCAGAGGGGCAGAGACAGAGGGACGGGGACACACAGGAAGAAGGTGTGCACGGTGGATTGGATGGATCGCGTTTTCGGTCTGTGCGGTGCGTGTGCGTGTGCGTGCAGGTGACACGTGAGTCTGTCGCTTTGAAGATGTACCCTCGCTCGCACTACCAGGGGCGGAAGAGACAGAGCTATGAACGGGAGGAAAAGTAAGTACCAAACCACGAAAAGAGACCGCCCCCTCCTGCCCTTGTCTCTACTTCTGCGTGTCCGTCTGTGTGTGTGTTCAGTGTGTTGCGTATGGTCCGTGACTTGGTCAAGCACCCGCACATTGTGGGCTACATCGGGCCGTACGAGACGCGGACGCACCTGTGTTTTGTGTTTGAGTTCCTGGAGGGGGGCAACCTCAAGCACTGGGTCGACCGCAAGGGCGGCAGGCTTACCGAAGCTGACGCACGGGCGGTCTTCTCACAGGTAAGTGAAATGAAATGGAAGATGGCGGCTTGTGTTGGGGTATGCATGTGTCTCGTTTTCTCGTCATGCAGCTTGTGGATGCGCTGGAGGCGCTGCATCGCAACAATATCGTACACCGAGACATCAAGCTTGACAACATCCTGAGGGACAAGAAATCATCCTACGGCAACTCACACCAAGGTATGTGCGACACTCAGCACACAGATAGATGCCATATGAGCAATGGCCGCCGCGATTAATGGCCACGCCTCCCCCTCTCTCTCTCTCTCTCTGTGTGTGTGTGTGTGTGGTCGTGTGCAGTCCCATTTTTCAAGCTGATCGATTTCGGGTTCAGTTTCCACGTGAGGGAGGACCACAGTGGGCAGCTCAAGCTCTTCTGCGGCACACCATCATACATGGCCCCCGAGATCGTCACCAACCAGCGGACCAAACAGGCCTTCTGCGGCTTCAAGGCCGACGTGTGGGCCATGGGCGTGGTGCTCTACCACCTTGTCTGCGGGCAGCTGCCCTTTCGCGCTGAGAACGATAGGTGAGGTGACACTTTTGAGAGCACAGGCATCGTCCTCTGGTCTGTGTCTCTCTGTTTGTCCGTGCAGTGCGCTGTATCAGAAGATTCTGCACTCGTCGAGCCACCTGAAGGTCCCGGATCGGCTGCAGCTGACGCCGACCTGTGAGGACATTATCCGGAGGATGCTGCACCACGACCCGCGCCACCGGCTCTCCATGCACGAGGCCAAACACCACGAATGGTAGGTACCTCATCAACACAGAAAAGTGGCGGGGAATCGGCCCATCGGTGTGTGTGTTTCTGTTCGGTGTGTGTGAAGGCTGCGTGGCGAGGCCTCCGTGTCGACGGCCATCCCGTCGTCTCAGTCGTCATCGATGCGGAGCAACCTCAACACCATCAACAGCCATCCCCAGTCCCGCCCAAACTCCCTGCCGCCGCCGCCCAATATGCCCAACATATTCATGCCACCCTGCCCGCCGCCCCCTTACACCTACCTGCACCCGCCGCCCTACTACTCGCCGAACAGCGTCCCACACACGTTTGCACAGGCGGCAGGAGTGGCGTACTTTGGCGGTATGCTGACGGGGGATGGCGGAATGGCTGTGGCCCCACCGCCGCCGACCTTTGAGCATCACCAGGGGCAGCACTAGCAGACAGACAGAGGGCGGGTTGTGTGTGTCGATTTGTGGGTGGGAGAGGGAGAGAATGTGGGATGGGGTTAATGGCGCCAGGGTGATGATAGGCAGCCGCTTCTTGCAAGAGTGCTGGATGGATGGTGATCAGTCGAGCTTGTCTCTTTCCTTTTGCCACGCATGACCCATCGAGGAGGCGCCACACGGAGAGATAGATAGAGTGGCAAGGCTGAGTCACCAGTGCCCGTCCATTTCGTTTGTTGATGGAAGAAACCAAACAATCAGTCAAAGTCAATGTCAAAGGCATTCAAAGGCATTCGCCTCTCACCGTCTAGGGGTCACGAGTGGCCACCAGCACAATGCACTCATCATACTCATCATACTCAGTATCCAATGTGTTGATGGTGAAGCCGCCCACTCGAGTGCCGTTCGGGAGCAGCGCACGAATGGCATCGCCAAGGTCGCCAGGCTCATCCGGCAGCCACAGCATCACACACCTCAGGCCGCGCACGGCAGCGTCGAGCAGAGATGACAGGCCGTCGCGAACGAGCTCGGCAGCATCAGCATGCGCCAACCCTTGGGGCACTGTATGACGACACACAGGCAAGGCGGATGGACACACACACAAGGTGGACCGACGAGCACCTTCCTGCACTCACTGCCCTCCCGGCATACCTGACAAGTACATGTCTATGTTGCGAACCGAGGCATCCGACCCCCACCCGTCAAAGGCGCCGCCCTGCGTGAGACTGACCGTAACAGCCTGTCTACCAACTTGGACATCGTCCACCACCCTCCCCGCCCCCAGCGCCTCCAGCACACCACTCCTGTCCTCTGCACTGACAGCTCCATCAAACTGCACCCTCCTCACCTCCATAGGCATCTTCTGCGCCAGCCAGCGGCCCGCACCAACGCCCACAGAGCTCCAGACACACAGATATCTGGCCGTTGGGAAGTGCTGCAGGTGGTTGATGATGGCGGGGGCGGGTGAGGGGCTGCCGGGAGGGGGGACGAAGCCAGGGGCATTGTGAACCAACACCCTCCACACGTTGTCGAATGAGAGGCTCTGTGCGATGTCGACGGCCGCCTGGCTGGGGCTGTCGATGGGATGGGTGAGGTCATGCTGGCTGATGTTGTAGTCCACATACATCGTCTGCCGTGCCGCCTCCTGAATGGCCGTCTTGATGAAGGGGGAGGGGCTAGGGGGGAATGCGTCGGCGTAGAGGAGTGACAGGTCGAAGTCCGTGCCCCCCAAAACCGTCACGTCGAGCGGGACGTCCGGCGAGGTGCAGCAGGTGTTGATGAAGCCGTCGACAGCCAGCAGGGCAGAGAGGCTGTCGTGGTCCTCGAACGATGGGATCTTCACGTCGAAGCTCGTCAGCGACTTGCGGCAGCCACGCGACATGAGCACATCCTAGAAAGAAACAAAGAGAAAGGACACCATTCGAATGTGTGTGGGCACGTGCGGATAAGGCCTCCCCTATGTCACGGTTGCCTACCTGCAGACGCGTGACTCCTGCCAGGTACTGCTCTGGTGACTCCCCATCCCGACGCTCAATCCCTCCGATGGTCTGCAGGTGTCTGAGCGGCCCTGGCTGGCCGGCGGATGCGACGGGGAAGTGCTCAAACACAGTCGCCAACTGCCCCCATGACCCCCATAGCCCCTCCACTCGTTTCAGGCATGACGACGAGCTGACGAAGCGGCCCAACGTGATGGCATCCCACCCCTGCTGACCCACACGCTCGAGTGCGGGCATCTTCCAGCCCCTGTCGGCCAGCACACTGTGCTGTCGGACGGCTCCTGTGACGGCCCTGAGGGCATGGAGAGTGGGGGGCTCGGGGGGGG